GTGCTTTTGCTTATTAGCCATTACAGCTAATTTAGATGTGTAATACACTGTGTTATCAGTTGCTCACACAGAGAGCTATTATAAAACATGATTATGCTTGCACAATACATTAGTCATTGACAGTGGCATAGGCACTGTTAGCTGATGTACATACTTCTACAGATCCTACCACACGATTATGCTCGCACAATACATTATTAGTCACTGACAGTGGCACAGATACTGTCAGCTGATGTACATACTTTTACAGATCCTACCTGCAGGTCCATCAGATGGAGCTGGACAGTCTGAACAGACAAATGAAGGAGTCTAAGAGAAACTCTCGCTTGGTAAGTCTAAACAACAACAACAACAACAAAAATATATATATTCAACCGTGAAGATGTTTCGGGAAGGACTGTTTCATGGTACTAAGCTATTCAAATCTGAGCACTTTCCTGTCTTTTTTTATGTTAATGTTTGATTTGTAATATCTCTGTTGCTCTTTTGTAGGGTTTTTTGTATGAACTTGACAAGGTGAGCGCTGCTTTATTTTCATCTGGCTTTAGTTTTGGTTTAGAGACTACAATCAAAAAAGCCTGGCACCATCAACTCTTATTTCATATTATTGAATTGTTGATGCCTCTTGATAATATTTGAAACATTATACACGTTGTTCTCTGTTCTCTCAGCAAGTGAAAGTAATTGAGAGATTTATGAGGCGGCTGGAGTTTCATCTCAGTAAGGTAAGCTTGTCGTTTAACTGAAATGCAAATCATTTGTAAAGCATAGCTATGCAAATATTTTGAATGCACAAGTGGTATAAAACCACCCCAAAATTTACTATTCATTAAATTTGTAAAAGTAGGATATATTTGGAAAAATCTTTGTTTGGAAAACAATTATTACAATGTACTCATGTTTTCAAGGTGTAAGTTTTTTTTATTTTTTTTATTACTTGATTAATATACCATCTGACATTTTCTTTTTTAAATCATTAAATCAAAACTCTTGTTAAAAATGGTATAAATATTTTGTTGAAAATATGAAACTGACCTTACAGCACATATTATATTTCAAAGAACTTTGCATTTTTAACTAGATTTAAAAAAAAGTCTTGAAATGAAATATTTCTTGAGCAGTCACCAGGATGTGCCACTCATGTCAAACAGAGATGCATGTGTTTTGTAGCTCAGCAGGTCTGTTCTTGTTCAGATGTCTCTGTGTTAGTGACTGCTAGCTCTTGCATGACCCACTGGCCCCAATAACAGCCTCTGTACGGTTGTGCTCATGCATTCATGCACGTACGTGTCTGCGTCTAAACAGTGACTTTTTTCCTGATAGATAGTCTCCTACAGGATATACAGCAAAGCGTAATCCACCCCTCACTGAGGACACATTCTCAGACAGATTTTCCCCCCCTGTATACACACATAGATGTTCACACACTGCAGGGGACACGGGTCACAGGCAGAGGACAGCTTTAGGGGCTGCTCGCATTCTTAGCTTGTTTGGCGAGCGGTTAAACCCTTCACTAGACCTGTTGGAGTCTGAACTAACAGCCTAAACTAACCCAAGCCAGCTGCACTACAGGAAGAGGCCTTCCTCTCTATCCTCCTCTTCCTCTCTTTCCTTCACAGCCTCATTTCATGTGTGATTATTGTGCGTTTTATGAGCGGAGGGCGCTGCAGGGAGTCTCCATGCTTTTGCTGGGTCAGATATTTTGGGCCTCTATTTTAGTGGAGGAGGGGCAAAGTGAGAAAGTACCCCTTAATATTAAGTGACTTTGCTAAGCAGTGCTAACGGCAGTCCCATGTCTTTGCAGGGATGGTGGTGTTTGTTGTATTGGCTATGGCCTACGACAAATGTGAATGAAGAGGCGTGTTGTTATCAGTTTTGTGTAGCAGTGTGTATTAGCAGAAGAGGTGCTTGTCATAACTCTGTGAAACTTATGACTGTCCCGCTGACTCCCTGTCAGTATGCTGGAACACGCTCACTGGACGGATCCTAACCACCTCCAGATGGACACACTGAGAGGAAAATTTTCCTTCTCTCACTTTATGTCTTTCCTTCGTCCCTCTTTCGGTTATTGCAGGAAACCTTTTAAGGGCTGCAGACTCTTTCGCCCCTGTTCTCATTTTCAGTCTCGAGGATTGTGTGTGTTTGTGTTACTCGACCTGCACATGTATGTGTGAACAACCAGTATGAGGCTCCCCCACTGAGTTGGGTAATTCTGCAGGATACTGCTGTTCATGTATTTCATATACTATTGGGTCAGTTAGATAAAAAAAAAAAGAAATTAATACTTTTATTCAGCAAGGATTAATTAAATTGATCAAAAGTGACAGTAAAGACAACTTCTCATTCATCAAGGCATCTTGTACCACAAATGTATCATGATTTCCACAAAAATATTAAGCAGCACAACTGTTTTCAACATTTATAATAAGAAATGTTTCTTGAACCAAATCAGCCTATTGGAATTATTTCTGAAGGATCATGTGACACTGAAGACTGAAGTAATGGCTGCTGAAAATTCAGCTTGCCATCACAGAAATAATTTACATTTTAAAATAGAAATTCTGAAATATAGTTTAAATTATATTATTATTTTTATTACAATTTTTTTAAATCAAATTATTAGAGCCTAATTTTACCAACCCAGTCACTATACCTACAAGAAATCCTCTGTATTAAATAGGGCTGCATGATAAATCGCATGCGATATTTAATGCACATCTTGTCAGAAAGCCGGTTCTGTAATCAGCGGTAAATCTCCATCACCTGCTCGTCAGTGAACAACGGCTCTGTGTAGTTAATGCTGCTCAATGTGAAAGCACGCACGTGATTGAGATTTACCGCTGATTACAGAACCGGCTTTACTGATAAGATGCGCGTTAAATATCGCATGCGATTTATCGTGCAGCCCTAGTATTAAACAATGAAATTAATCAAAAATGCATTATTTACTTTATTAACTATTTTTCCCTTTTGAGTATGTTCTTTTGGCTCAAGCAGTAAAGCATGGTGGCACTCAAAAATCTATATAAAATGTCTTAATTTATAGACTTAATTTTAATTAGAGTGTACATATAAGAGAGTATACATTTTCAGTAATTTTTGTAATCAGTAATCAAAATACTGCCATTTTTTGCAAAGCTTAAACAGTGGTGTTTCTGTGATTATCCTCAGTTGGGTATTGCTTTTTATTGTCACAATCCTCCTTACACATCTCCCTTGCCCTGCTGAACATTCTTCCAGTGAAGTGAATGGAGCTTTCATACTGTTTGTATTTTTTCTCATTCATTCATACTCATTTACAATGGACAGCTCATTGTTTTCTAATCTCTGAATTGCAGGACTCGTGCTGTGAATAATTACAGAATGAATTTGTAAAGATAACGTCTCTTACTCTGAACGTCTGCCTAAATTTTAGTTGACATTTAACAGTTTCCTGTCTCCATTACTGACTTCCACATTTGCAGACCTGCTCAAGGTGTTGCGGATAGATCAATAAAATCTAAATTACTTGTATTGAAGACAATGAGGCCCAGCAGGAAGTACTTGAGCAAGAAAAGATTTAACAACAAGATGTTGTGGTTTGTGCATGTGTGTGCATATGCAGTTAATCAGTCAGTGTCACCATCTGGATGTAGACTAAACTGTGGCTACCTCATTAAGTCATAAAAATACTAAACTTTATTGGAAAATTCAGCTTAAGTAGCAGCTGTGCTTTGGAACATGGTAGTTAGTTTGTAGCTGCTCTAAGATGGTCATTATTTCATTGGCCAATCACCATGTTACAAAATCCAGATTGACAGTTTTAAACTGGTATGACCTGCTAGTTTGTTGCTGGTTGAAGGGGAAAAAAAGTATTATTCCAAAAATCTAAGCATCCTTAAAAGCAAAATACATTTTGATAAGCGAAAATGTAAGATAATAAGAATGGATTTCCATTTAATGACCAGCTAGAAACCAGCTACCATGTTTCAAAACACTGCTCAAGATGGGCTGTTCAGCAGGAAATGTTATTGAAGACATTTGTTATGAACACACATCAATATATTGTACATAATTAATATATTTTCATTGATTGTAATAAACACTGGGGTGTTGCGCATGTGTCTGCAGATTGACGAGCTCTATGAGGCCTACTGTATGCAGTGCAGACTGCGAGACGGAGCCGATAAGATGGTGAAGGCTTACACAGCCTCTCCTGGCAGCAGGGAGGCCAGAGAGAGTCTGTCTGAAGCTAACAAGAGCTTCAAAGAGTACACGGAGGTAAGAGTGTTTGGTTAGATGAAAGTATGGGTGGAAGAGGAAGTAGAATTATGGACTTTGTCAATAGACGAGACAAAAGACAAGAACAAAGACAAGATTTCAGTAAACAGTGTACATAGGATTTAAAAGGGTTCAAAACCCTTTGTGAATCCACTTTAGAACTAAAATTATTTCAGCTTATTTTTAGTAACGTGAATCCTCTTTAGAACTAAAATTCACATCAGCTTAGTGTTACTGAGATGAATCCACTTTATAACTAGGATTTTCTTCAGTTCAGAGTTTGTGAACAAAATCCACTTCAAAACTGAAATTCAGTTCAGCTAAGTGTTAATAAACTGAATCCACTTCAGAACTGAAATTCACTTCAGCTTAGCATTAGTAAAGTGAATCCAATTCAGAACTGAAATTCACTTCAGCTTAGTGTTTGTGAACTGAATCCTCTTCAGAATTGAAGTTCACTTAAGCTTAGTGTTAGTAAAGTGAATCAATTAAGAACTGAAATTCACTTCAGCTTAGCATTAGTAAAGTGAATCTAATTCAGACCTAAAATTCACTTCAGCTTAGCATTAGTAAAGTGAATCTAATTCAGACCTAAAATTCACTTCAGCTTAGTGTTAGTAAAGTGAATCCAATTAAACACTGAAATTCACTTCAGCTTAGCATTAGTAAAGTGAATCCAATTCAGAACTGAAATTCACTTCAGCTTAGTGTTAATAGTTAATCCAGTTCAGAACTGAAATTTACTTCAGCTTAGTAAACAATGTCATTAAAATGTCATTAATATGTCATTAAGCTGAATCCCGTTCAGAACTGAAATTCACTTTAGCTTAGTGGCTGTGAACTGAATCCAGTTCAGAACTGAAATTCGCTTCAGCTTAGTGTTAGTAAAGTGAATCCAATTCAGAACTGAAATGCTCTTCAATTTATTGTTAGTGTACTGAATCCACTTCAGAAATTAAATTCACTTTAAGCGTTAGCAAACTAAATTCACTTCTGAACTGAAATTTACTTTACATTTACATTGTTAGTAACCAATTCAGAATTGAAATCCACAGTTTGGTGAAAGTAAATTGCATTCACTTAACTTTAGTTCACTTTGTTTTTTGCGAGCCATGAGGGACTGGAGTTGTAGGTAAATGATAACATTTTGATACAGGGCCAAACTAGACTCATTCGAGATGCTCATGGAAATAATGCAGGGAGGCAATCTGATTAAGAGAGACAGCCTTTCCCAGTCAAGTGCTTTTCATTACCCTAATGGTTGCTGCAAGACGCATTCAGCTGTAGGATTCCTCATTATTCTCCTCCCTCTCCCTTGTGCTGAATACTTTACAGTTTATACTATGTACTGCCTACTTTTTTTTTTTTTAATTAAGTGAAGTGTAGGCATTCAAACTGTAGTGTGCAGCATCATTGTTTCTACACATTGTATGTTTATTTCTCTTGTGCCTGCCACCTTACTCTCTTTTCCTCTGTGTATTTACCCACTGTCTCTGTCTCTGTCTCTGTCTCTGTCCCTGCAGAATATGTGCATGCTAGAGAGTGAGCTGGAGAACCAGCTGGGGGAGTTCCATGTCAAAATGAAGGGTAAGGCAGTCTCTGTATACCAGGGTCCATTCTACGGTGATTTTAATTTGTAATTTCCTACCGTTTCATATCACATTTCTGGTTTAATGTCTGTTTCATGATCTTAACAGTGTGCTGTACTTAAATAATGATGCATGCCTTTGTTTCAGGCTTGGCGGGTTTTGCACGACTTTGTGCTGGAGATCAGTATGAGGTGAGCTGCTGTTATAATTTACTTTCTCATTTATACTCGGCATGAAATCATATTGTGAACAATTCATGAGTGCGCGTAGTTTCATAATCTTTCATCAAAATGCCATTTAATGTAATAAAGATACAACTAGCCTAATTCCTGAGTCAAAATATCAATTAACTGCAAACTTGCATTCAGGTCTGACTTGATTCTTGAATGGAATTCCAGCTTTTCGTACGCTTTGCACTGTCGTCAGTGGCAGATATGACAGATAGCGGTGATTGAAGATCTGGCTGGTTTGAACCCAAAGCATCCGCTAAATGACTGCTTATGAGAGAGACAGACACAGACAGATCTCGGCATCTGCTCTGCACAGGGAAGAACAGATTTGGGGAGGCGGAGGATAATTAAAGAGGGGTGAATGTTAATGTGTCGACCCCACCTCCACCTGTTTAACATGCAAGAGCTTTAGAGTGACTGACAGGCCAATCAATGCAGTGAGTCAGCACAGTCTGCTCAGCAAGAGCCCTCTGAGATGTGACAGGAGGGAGGTGGTGTGAAAAAGAACAAGAAATTGACTGGAGAAGATCTAGAAATGGATAAAAGAGTGGGTGGCAGAGACTTGTTTTTTATTCGGCCCATCTGTTATTCTCGCTCTGTTCATTGCCTTCACTGTGAAAAAAAAAACAGACAAAAGCCAAGATTTTCTTTCTCCTCTCCACTTGAATGAATAAATAATCAGTTTAAAGTTATTAAAAAGTTTGTAATTCTGTTAGATGTTTTTTTTAATACAAGAAAGAAAAAAAACACTTGTCAAAGGGATAACATTTTTTTAAATGTAAATCTAAATTTTCTATGTAGCAAGCCTTCATATTTTGCCTTTGGCAATGAATTTGTCTGTTTAAAGAATATATATATATATATATATATACAGTGGTGTGAAAAAGTGTTGGCCCCCTTCCTGATTTCTTATTTTTTTGCATGTTTGTCACACTTTAATGTTTCAGATCATCAAACAAATTTAAATATTAGTCAAAGATAACACAAGTAAACACAACATGCAGTTTTTAAATGAAGGTATATATATATATATATATATATAAAATATTCAAGACTTCAAGTAAAATATCTTTACAACAGGATATAAGTGGTAAATTATTCAAATAATTTCTTAATCAGTATATTTAAGTTACAATATAATAATTAATAATATTAATAATAATAATGATAGTTTGTTAATTTTGTTAATCAGACTAAATGAAGGTGTGATTTAAATACCTCCACAGATCAAATTTCTTAATCAGTATTTTTGTCTTGTTTTCCAGTAGAAATAACCTATAAATTAAAATAGAATAATACTTTAAAATTATTATTATTATTATTGTTATTATTATACTGATTAAGATATAATTTAATAATTTGTTAATGGATTTTTCTGTGTCTTTTAAATACCTCCACAGATCTTTATGAAGTACGGTCGCCAGCGGTGGAAACTGCGGGGTCGGATTGAAATCAATGGCAAGCAAGTGTGGGATAGTGAGGAGATTGTCTTCCTCCCCCTTATCACAGAGTTCCTGTCTATAAAGGTAGTTTTTATATGAAAATACAGTTACATTCATTTTTATGTTGTCATAAGTTTTTTCCTCCTTCCCCTTTCTCTCACACATACTATTAGTCTCATAGATTGAAATGTTCTTCAAGAATTCTTCAAAGATTGGTCAAATCTCAAAGGATAAAATGATATCCTACAAATTTCCCAATAAATATGTCATTTTAAAATGATAATATGGAATTTAAAGGTGTTTAAGTGGATCTTAAAATGCCCTTCTCACAAAACACGCAACCTGTTTAACAAGTGATTACTAATATTGAAAGGAACTCGTGACATTGTGCTGGTCATGAAACTGATGATGACATTTCCTCCTAAATAAACATCTCCTATGTGGTTGTCAAGGTGACGGAGCTGAAGAGTCTGGCCAATCACGTGGTGGTGGGAAGTGTCTCGTGTGAGACGAAGGACCTGTTTGCTGCCCTACCTCAAACAGTAGCTGTGGATATCAATGACTTGGGCACCATTAAGCTCAGTCTAGAGGTCACCTGGAAGTAAGTACAGCTTTAAGGGATCACATCAAATGTCACCCATTGCCAGATCTCATAGCTGCATTTTTTATTTATTTTAAATGCCCTGTTAAAATAAAACTCTCTTTTCTTCTGTAGTCCATTTGATAAAGATGACCAGTCGTCCTCAGCTAGCACCGTGAACAAACCTCCTACTGCCAACAAACGCTTCTCTACCTACAACCAGAGTCCTCCAGATACACCCTCTCTACGAGAGCAGGCCTTCTATGTGAGTCTGTCCATTCAGAGCATGTTCTAATTTGACTGACCAATCTTTTACATTCTAATCTATTGTCCCTTGAATATATAGTGTTCCAAAAGGATCCAAAAGTCTAAAATTTAAAGGGATAGTTCACCCAAAAATGAAATTCTGTCATTAATTACTCACCTTCATGTCATTCCAAACCCGTAAGACCTTTGTTCATCTTCAGAACACAGAATAAAGTTGTTATTTTTGTCTTCTTTGTACACAAATCTTAATTTGTGTTCTGTTGATGAACGAAGGTCTTTCAGGTTTGGAATGACATGAGGGTGAGTAATTAATGACTGAATTTTCATTTATGGGTGACCTAGCCCTTTAACAGTACAAATTTTGATACAATTATTTTCAATTATATAAAAAACAATTTTGATACAGTTATTTGTACAAACCTGAATTTAAATTGATTTTGAAACTTGTATATTTAAATTTTATAACAAATAATATTTAATTTTAAATAACTAAAAATATTGAATATTATAATACTATAATATTTATAGTAATTTGCACATTTTATTTAATTTTAATTACTATTATATATAATAGTAAAAGTGAAAACGTGAGGATTTAAAATGTTTTGAAGTATTTTCACGTACTGCATGAGCTCAAGCTGCATGAGCTTCACAAGTTTTTGTCAGACCTGTTGATGATTTGCTCCACCATGATCTGACAATGATCCAAAAAGCATATTGTGCTTCAGTGGAACATCCATCCATCTGTATAAAGGAATCACATGATCAGTGCCACAATATTGTGTATTTGATTAGTGACCTAGAAATGGTACAGAATCTTTGTTTTTATATTTTTCTAACCAATTATATTTAACCCTTTCAAGGTTTATTTTGAATCCCAGACATTTATGTCTTTAGACTATATCTGCTTTCATAACTCATGTGCTTTGCTTTTGAAATATTCAGTGGTGATACATTTAATATGAATTGATTCAAACCAGACATTTCTGCTAAGTGCATACCACCATAATGTCGATATACCACAGATCACTCTCCTCTGTCCTAATGGAGATCTCACAGTTCTCCAGACCCTCTTAAGATTTAAATTAGCACAATAGGCTCCACATAGATTTAATAGTAGTCATTTCTCAGAAGCATCTTGGTCTCACAAGGTCATGTTAACTTATGGCTTCAGCTCAGATGAGTTAGATGAAATGGAAGAAGTCTGAAAAGCTCATAACTTGCTAGGTCAGATTACCATAGACCATGTAGCGTTAGCTCGCTCAAAACTCTCATGCTCTCCCGCTGACTGCGTGCAGACAGCTCCACGGAGCATGATGTCCAAACAGCGCTGGTCCTTACTGGATGTGTTCAGAGACACACTGACAGAGAAACTGAGTCAGAGCTGCTCATGCAGCGATGTCACCTCGGTTCGCCTGGGTTCGTCTCTGCTTTCCAGCCATGTAAGTGCAGTCGGCCCGTAGAGCTAGTTGTGTAGCTTTAGTTAGTTGTCGTAGTTGGCTGAAAAGGTGTGACAAAAACAAGTTTGTATGGTCCTTCTGGTAATGAGTAGTGTCTGCCGACTATCTAGGAAATTATAGTTGTTGTTGTAGTGATGATTTCCTCTGTGTCCTGTCGTTACTGTCAGTTGTCTTTAATTAAATAGAGCAAATAGGATTCTTGTGCATGTTATTCTTTGTCTGTCCGACTGCGAGTGACAATAGTAGCATCTACAGCCGTCAATAATGCATTCATTGATGCTGTTATTGTTTTGAAGGGTGGTCACATTAGCCAAGCGAGGGAAGTTAATTAGAGGGAGCAGGGAGTATGTTAGTTCACTGGGCCTGACGCCAGTCTGCTCTCCACAATAATGAAGCTCCGTGTCCAAAGATACACACTAATACTGAGTGACAGTGAACACACTCCTATCATCCTACTGTACTCTCCTCTCCCTCCTAAAACTAGCCTGCTGTCTGCTCACAGTCCTCAGATACTATTTTAGCATATATCTCTCACTGTGGACTTTATGGTAGAGTATGAAATGATTGCCTTTCACATGACTCCATCAGGGCTTCAACGCAAGCATCATGAAGGATATTTTTACAGTCTCTATAAGGCAAGTTAGTTCACTCTGCAGTCTTTGTATCTTCATGTCAAGTATTTGAATAAGGAAAGACAGAAATCTTTATTCATAGTATATATATTCAAACACACACACACACAGTATATATGTATATGTATGTGTGTATATGTGTGTGTATATATATATATATATATATGTCTGTGTGTGAGTGTGAGTGTGTGTGTAAATTTATGTCTATATATATATATATATATATATATATAATTGTTTAGTTTTAGTTCTTTTAGTACATAAAGTTAAAAGAGAA